ACTGCGCCGACTGCGCCGACTGCGCCGACTGCGCTGACTGCGCTGACTGCAGCGGCACAATAAATGTTGAACGCTTCATATCTGTTTCATTTGTCTCCTTTACTTTTGGAATTAATCATTTTAAACAACATTTAATTAGTGTTAATGTTGTTTATCGAGCCTTACCCTTGCTATAACCGAGAACTATAATTTTGACCAGTTTCTGAGTTTTGGCTCAATAAAAATAGCTTATCGCCTACTTTTGAAAATATCTCGGGACACAGGAATAATATAATCAGTATTATTTATGAACCTAATGCCGCTAAAGGAAATTTCTTGCTATTAAAAAAATGGTAATCAGGCTACCGACCTGTTATGTCTGTATTGTACAATTATTATTACTTTGAAGTCGGTGTCAGTCAATTTAGATTCATCACTTAAACGTTTCTATACTTTCAATTGTTATGGTACAAATGTAGAAACCCTTACGTAGACATATCACTGCATACCTCGGCTGACACCGACATCAAAGTAATAATAATTGCACAATATAGACATCACAGCTACAACAAGGGAGGTTTAATATTTTGAAGGAATTATTTCGTTACTTTTTTGTGTACTGTTTTTTTTTTGAGAATATTTTGTTTTTAGTGTATTTTGTTTGAATCTCTACCAATGGGCACTTTTAAAGGTTATTTTTGTGCCACCTAAGAACTTTACAACAAATGTAAGAACTTGAGTGTTCGTAAAACCTTCCTATTTTAATACATCAATAATAGCTAATAGGCTAGGCCTAAATAATAACCAAATCAGCAGAACATCTAAGCAAAGTAAGAGAATACACACGCTGGAAAGAAAAGGAGGAAATAAAACCATTTAATTGTCAATTCTTTTATTTGAAAATGTTCAAAAGCACTGTCTAATTGTAATGTATTTCTTTGTATCTTTATGTTGACATGGGGAAGGGATTGACACTACAGGAGCAGAGGCTTCCATTAAATGTATACAAAAAGAGACAATAAAGGATTTATTATTATTATAGTTTGTCTAAAAAAGTATGTTAGTATGACAATTCAATAGGGATGTGTTGTATAAAATCAGGAATGAATATTTTCGATTTTCACTCTCGTAGAAGTTGGAACTCATAGATACATCGTTATACCTTATGGATCAAAATAAAAACATTTTTTTATTCGGTTATTCAAAATCAAATTAATAATGAGAAATACAGAGTAAATACAAAGAATGAGAGTTCTTAGATGTTTATTAATAAAACGGTCGTGCATAATCTAATTGTAATTCGTTATTATTATTGTGCGATATCAACGAATTTCAAATGTCACTTTATTCACTACTAGAACTTACCCTTAATCTTACTTCTTAAAGCATAATGCTTAGAATAAAGTTTAGATGGATAAACGGATCTTGAGCACATTTAGCATAGATATAGGGTAGTCTGGAAGAACACATAGGCTACTTGTGTGGCTTTTTTAATTCCACGCTAACGAAGCGAAAGCTAGATTAATTAATAAGTAATTGATAGTTTTAGGTCGATAATTTTTCGATTAAATCGAATATCGATAGTTTATCGTTATTTGATATAAGCTTATGTTCCATCACTACGATAATTATTATTATATTTGGTCAAATACTGTACACCTTTGGTCAAATGCTGTACACCTAGACGCCGGACTCGTCATACCCCATTACTCCACGTCCCTATGCACAGCACCAACTACGCTGCCAACAACACCATTACGCGTCTCACGACCACTTATAATTTACACTTTAACAACATAGACATCTTTAACCTTTCGAAAAGAAACTTTAAAACAAGAATCCAAAAAGCCATGTTATCTACTAATCAATAATATATTATTTACTAGCTATCGCTCGCGACTCCGTCCGCGTGGAATTAATTGCCTATGAGTTCTTCCAGACTGTCACCTGCGTCTGTGCCAAGTTTCATCGAGATCCGTTCGACCATTTGGGCTGCAGACCCTGACAAACATCCATGCATCCATCTAAGTTTTCGCATTTATAATATTAGTAAGATTTTATTTTCTCTTCACAT